GGACAAGCCAATAGGTGCAGCAGAGGGCAGAACCTGACAGGCGGGGGAGTGGATGGTGCTGTACCTGGCTGTGCACATCCTGCAGCCTGGATTCCTGGATTCAGATTTCATTACTGTTACCTCACTTTGAGCTACTCACAGATGGGCTGCCTTGTGCCTCAGTTTCTCCATGGGCAAAATGAAATGAACCTTGCAGAATTTTTTTTTCTTTAAACAATTGATGGCGACAGACATCTGTCAGTCACTTAGAAGAGACTCACAGGGCAGGTGGCACTGAGAACATTAACTCTACTCTGACATCCTCAGTAGCTCTCAGGCAGAAGACTGGGGTCCAGCAAGGGGGTTTCCTAGCACCCACAAAGAAGCACTGCCACCATGGCCTCCTCTGGATGCTTAACTCCCTCAGTGGTACTGGAGACCTGTAGACTAGTACCCACATCGTACTCCACTGCCCATTGATTCCATGTCTGGAAGCCTCCTGCCACCTACATGGGGTCCCCTCCTAGGGAGGCAGGGAGTCTGGAGAGAAGCCCATGGGCAAGCTGTGCATCTGTGTGAAGAGTGTGGGCTTGGCACATAGAGGCACGGGATGCAGGTGCAAAGAAGGAGCACTTCCCAGAGGAAGGGGCCACCAGTGGGGCTGTAGGAAGGTCAGAGTCCATTCTGATGGTGGCTCCAAATGGGAGGGAGGAGTTCTCATCTGTGCTTACAGTTTTTGGAGAGTCTGGCAGCAGTACCATTTGGGGGAAGGTGACGGATTGTAGATATCACTTGTGATGCTAGCACTCTACCAGGATACCTGGGTTTGAGTAGCATCTCCCCCTTTCAATTCCAGCTTCCTATTAATGCACCTTAAGAACCAGCAGGAGACAGCTCAAATACTGGGTCTTTGTCCCCATACGGGAGACCAGGATCCTGGCTTTGTTCTGGACATTTAGGAAGTGAACCTACAGATGGCAGCCCAATGCCTCCAATAAGTAGAGTAATTTTTTTTTAATGTTTAAAAATCAAACAGAGTTGGGCCTGGTGAGATGGCTCAGTGGCTTAAATCCTTGCCTTGCAACTGCCAGGATCCCATATGGGTGCCAGTTTGTGTCCCTGCTGCTCCACTTCCCATCCAGCTCCCTGCTTTTGGCTGGGAAGGCAATGGAAGATGATCCAAAGCTTTGGGATCCTGCGCTAGCATGGGAGACCTGGAGGAAACTCCTGGCTCCTGGCCTCAGATTGGTTCAGCTCCAGCCATTGCAGCTATTTGGGGTGCGAACTAGTAGACAGATCTTTTGCAGGGTCCAGCGCAATAGCCCAGTGGCTAAAGTCCTCTCCTTGCACATGCTGGGATCCCATATGGACACTGATTCTAATCCTGGTGGCTCCACTTCCCATTTAGTTCCCTGCTGTGGCCTGGGAAAGCAGTCGAGGATGGCCCAATGCCTTGAGACTCTGTATCCGTGTGGGAGACCCGGAAGGGGCTCCTGGCTCCTGGTTCCAGACTGGTGTAGCTCTGGCCATTGCGGCTGCTTGCAGAGTGAATCAACGAATGGAAGATATTCCTCTCTGTCTCTCCTCCTCTCTTATATCTGACTTTCCAATAAAAATAAATATTTTTCAAAAGATCTTTCTCTCTGTAAATCTGCCTTTCCAATTAAAAAAAATAAATATTTTAAAAATAATTAGACAGAGCTATAACCTGGACTCCCTGTGCCTTAGGTGTTCTCTCACTTTCATAATTTTTTTCTCCTGCAGCTCTTCCTGTGTTACATCTAGGCCGGCACCATCCGTTAGACAGACACAAGGTGAACCAGCCTCATCTGTCCTTTCTCTTTTTCTAGTACCCATGGGAAAAAGGGGAAGGAAACAGGTCAAATGAACATTCTCACCATTTCTTTTATTTCCATTTACTCCCCTGCTTGTGAGGAAGCATCATTCTAAGATGTAGCCAATAAAAACATGGCTGCTGACCTCTATGGAGCGAGGAGTCAGGGAGCATGGGCTGTGACATCCCAGTGTGTGCTTCTATTTCTGGTACATGGTCGTTCGGCTGAGTGCTCAGCAGGCCCACGTGGCTGGGAGCCGCTGCCTTGGATCTGGATCAGCCGACCAAAGCTGACTGCCCCGCCCCCCCGCCTCTGGAGGCAGAGACACTAAGTAAGTCAGAACACAGTCCCAGCTGTGGCTTTGGAGCTCCTGAAGAGAATCCACAGCAGAATGCATGGTTTGGAGAGTCAAGATGTAGACTGTGAGCTAGAGGACCCAGTCATGCCGTTAGTCAGAGCTCTGGACCCCGAGAAGGAGGTGAGGACAGCAACTCCATCACCCAGCCCTGGTATGAAAGACTAAGGCCTGTGCAAGGACAGGGACAGAGGAAAACTGATGAGATGTGGGGAGTGGCAAGAGCTGCAGAAGGTCCCTCTGTACCTGGCCCCATTCATGGCTGCTACCCTACAGAGCAAGCATATTACATGTTATGTTATATTACAAGTATGTTAGCCAGCTAACTCATTGCATCCAGGCAGGTGGCTGGCGCCTCATCTCCCTCTGTGCACCTAACATTCTGGTTTCTTTGGGGGAGTTGATGGCTGGGAGAGGAGTCCAGGCAAATGAGATCTGGGGCAGCACAGGGGTCTGCATCCCAGGGTGTCCTCTGGAAGGGTGCAGAGAGAGCCAAGACAGCCAGAAAGAGCCAAGACAGCCAGTGGCCACCAGACAGGGACAGCAAAGAAGTAGCAAAGACACTGAAGCTGAGTCCCTGTCTGGAGAGGGGTGGGTGACAAGCAGAGGGGACATCAGCAGCCAAGGCAAAGGGCAGTGGGAGGCCCCACTGCGCCAGACTCAAAATGCAGGTGCTTACATCCTCTCTCTTTTAATATGTATTTTCATTTTGTTTGAAAGCCATGCAGAGAGATCTTCCAGCTGCAGGTACATTCCCAACTATCCAAAACAGCCAAAGCCAGGAACCTAGAACCCAATTCAGGTCCCCAATATGGGTGACAGAAATTCACTCCCTGCTGCTACTCAGGGTATGCATTAGCAGGGAGCTGGCTTCGAAGTGGAGGAGGAACCAGGACTTGAACAGTCATTCCCAAGTGGTGCCTAGACCAGTGTGCCAAATGCCAGCCCCAGAAGGCTGCCTTCTCATTGCCAACTCTGAAGACCCTGCTCTGCCAGGCCCTGCTTGCTGCACACATTCTCATTGTAGACCATGAGGATCGCTTCTCAGCCTTTCGGCTAAGATCAAGTGCAGGCCATGTGGGACATCATCGCAAACTCACGGCTGAAGCCCCTCTCGGCCACACGAAATCACTTAGGCCTGGCTCCTGCTGCGCAGTCCATGATGACACACTCCTCAATCATTCTCATTCTCCTCGGGGACCTGAATCAGGGCATCTCTGGGTGCCTGTCTCCTCACTTTCAAAATGGAGACAGTGAATCTCATCACTTCAGCCCCAGGTGGCGCAGGCCCAAAGTAAAAGGTGATGGTTGAATTGCCAGCATTGGTGCCTGCAACTAGTGGCTTTCAGAATGCTGAGGGCGAGTGTGAATCACCCCCATCACAGCCCTGGCCAGGAGACTGGGAAGACAAGAGTTTATCATCCAGGGACTGGGCCACTCACAGGCAAACTGTCCCTAGAGTCCCAATTCTACAGAGGCAAGTTTATTGATGTGTGAAATTTTCTCATTGATTATTCCTACCTTTACTTTAAATACATTTTTTTATTCCACATACAGTGCTCATCTAAAGCACGTTAAATTGAGAAAGGCACAATCATAAACGTAGGTACAACAAATCCACGAGTGCCATGAACTGGAGCTTCTGAAAATGAAGGGCACAGGGAAGTGAAGGGGTGGATAGTTCTGTGTCTTGGTTGAGGTCAGCTCCAGCACTGCAGACATCTGCCAAAGCTCATAGAACTGCTACTGGGAAAAAATGAAATTCATTGTGTGGAAAATATACTTTGGTAACAATGATTTTCAAATGATGAGCACTGCTCAACAGTAGCAACGACACTCCACATTATGCAAACATTAAATCAGCAGTAATAGATGCTATCCCTGGTGTTAGGGGAAGAACATGAAAACCATCTGGAATTTTGGAGGGAGACAAATCCAGACTACTGGATCTGAGCTCTTCATATCAACACTCAACCCCAGTGCCATCAAAGTGGCACAATGGGTTAAACCATAGCTTGGTTAAACCAGCACCCCATATCAGAGCCCCAGGTCAAGTCCCAGCTGTTCTGCTTCCAATCTAGCTCCCTGCTAATGTGCCTGGGAAAGCAGTAGAAGACAGTCTAAGTACTTGAGACCCTGTCACCCATGTGTTCATAAAAAACAAATCTTTGTGAAAAACAAGAGCAGGGGTAGGGGGCAAGACTGGTCTCTCCCTGCTCTCTGGTTTCTGTTCTTACCACAGGATCATCTTGTGCGCATGCTCCGACACCATTGACTTGGATTGTGATGCAGCCAAGGGAGCCCACCAGTATCAGTGCCCATGCTGCGCTGCCTGAACTCTCATGACTCCCAGAACAGTGAGCTGAATAACTCTCCCTCCTTTGTAAGTACTTAGCACCTGGTACCCTTCATAGCAACAGGAAACAAACACACACTCCAATTCCATCTGGTACCCTTGAGGCTGTCCTTGAATGAAGATTGACCTCTTGGAATCACTCCCACTCCCTGAGTCTGATGTAGACCCTACGGCCAGGCTGGTGCCCCAGCAGGTGGCAAGCGGCATTCCATGCTTTCCTTCAGGTGACAGATATAGCACATGCAATAGCTCTGTTCCGCTTCTGCCTACCCTAGAGCATTTGAATAACCATGGGGTCTTGCCCAGCCCAATTGCTGGGGCTGAAGCAATCCTATCTGCCCATTGGACATGTGTTCCCAAAGCTGCCCAAGTATATGGGGGCAGTATTACTGAAGCAGGTGGCAGGGACTGCCATCTGACAGGACTAGGGAGAGAAAAGTTGGGAAGAGAGGTTGCAAAGGGAAAAAACAGTTACCTTGCTGAAACCTTTGGCGACTAAGGTGTTGGCAAGCGCCTGGCTGATCCCATCTATGCAAGCAACATCTTTGTCTCCCATGGGTTCGGAGAGGAAGGCTCTGAGCCTGGGTGACACGTAAGCCATCTCCTGCAACAGCAGCGGGGAGTGAAAAGGATTAGCAGGTGTCACCGTTCTCAGTGCAAGTAGATACCGGGGGAATTCCCTCAGCTGGCCAAGGAGCTGGGGATGGCAGATGACAGGCGCCTTGCCACCATGCAGCATGTACTGCCTGCTCTGAAGGCCTTACACATCCATTCCCATCTGGGTAGACGAAGGCAAGAATAATACCGACCACAAATGAGTTCCTCAAATCCACTCTCACAGGCTATATTCCATTGTAAGAACTGCAGTGGGTTTCTTGCCAACTCTCCCCTCTCTGTGCTTAAAGACACAGCTTGTGCGACTGGTGATGTTAAGCCTCTACTTGGGACACTGGACCCCACATGAGAGTGCCCATGTGAGTCCAGCTGGTCCACTTCCAATCCAACTTCCTGCTGATGCACCTCCCTGGGAAGGCAGTAGATGATGGCCCAACCATCTGGGATGGAATTCTGGGCTCCTGATTTCAGCCTGGTCTAGCCCTAGACATTGTAGTCATTTGGAGAGTGAACCAACAGGTGAAAAGATCTCTCTGTCTCTTTAAGATGAAACAAAAATAGACAAAGGCTTGCACTTTTAGCTAATTAACTTACCCTTCTATCTTTATTACCTGATACTTTGAAAAAAAAATTTATTTGAAATGCAGAGTTTGAGAGAGAGAAGAAAAGAGACAGTGTAAGAACTTTTCCATCTCCTGCCTCACTCCTCTAATGACTACAATAGCCAAGACTGGGCCAGACCAAAGCCAGAGGCATGAACTTCTTCTGGATTTCCTATGTGGGTGCGGGGCCCATGTACTTGGGTTTTTTTTCTGTTGCTTTCCTAGGCTTGTTAACAGGAAGCTGGATTGGAAGTTGAGCAGCTGAAATTCCAACTGGTGTCCACACGGGATTCTGGTGTCAAAGGCAGTGGCTTTACCTACAGTGCTGTCCCCCTCCCTCTACCTAATACTTTTGCCACGTTTTATAAAACAAGATTTATTTATTTTATTGGAAAGTCAGATATACAGGAGAAGGAGAGACAGAGAGGAAGATTTTCTGTCCAATAATTCACTCCCCAAGAAGTCCCTATAGCCAGGAGTATCTTATGGGTTTCTGGAGCGATTGCAGGGTCCCAAGGCTTTGGGCTGTCCTTGATTGTTTTCCCAGGCCACAAGCAGGGAGGTGGATGGGAAGTGGGGCCGCCGGGGTTAGAGTCAGCACCCAAATGGGATACAGGTGCACATGAGGCGAGAACTTTAGCCACTTGGCTACCATGCCAGGCCTGCACCACATTTTATTTTGAAGAGTTGCTATACTCTGTTTTGGGTGGATGTTTGGTTGCAGTAACAGAACACTCTTTGAGAAAATTCACATATTAAACATGGCATTATATAGCTCAAAAGTCCGGGAGAGAGGTTAGGAATAGCATAATCAGGGTTCAGCTCCATTTACCTTTGATTCTTTCCCCTGTATTGGTTTCCACCTCAGTTTTCCTCATGGTGGTAAGATAGCTCACATTTTCCAACAACTGCTTAGCATTGTTTTTCTGATATGCAACAAGTTCACTGGTTTGAGATCAGAGTCAACAGTATGCTGCAGTCCTAGATCTGGAGGTAGAGTTAGCTTGTTCTAAGATACATAGGCTGAGAGTTCTGAACAAAACAGGGACTGTTATCCAGAGCAGGGATGATGTTCGTTACAGCAGGAGCCCATAATATTTTACTATGTGTCACCTCTCTTGAGCTACTCAACTTCTTTCTTTTACTTGGTGAGCAAAAATACACTTGGCTAGAGCAGACTCACTCTCTTCTGCAAAAGGATGCAACCCTTTTATAATTCAATTACTGGATTCAATTCAAGGTTGTGTTTAGGGGTGGGGAGGCACATTATACTCTTTAGCATATGGGGAACCTAAAAATTAAATGTTCAATTTCACCCCCAGAACACAACTAGAAAGGAGAGGAGAGACAGGGAAGCATGTTTCTTGTCCTTGGTCACTGCTGGATCCCCTGTTGTAGAGGTAACGTGAGGTCCTTGGTCAGGCCATTTGGCAGCCTCCAGCTTTGTGCTTTACTGGCATATGAATGGGAATGGGGTTGATGTCTTCCAGAGAGACTTGCTGTTGTAGCACTGCACTGCTTATGGGGCAAATTCAGTGACTGCCTGTGGGGATGAGCTATCTCAGGCCATGGCTAGCTGTATTACTCAGCAACTCAGCTCCCTTAAGAACTTAATGTGTTCCTTTTGCTCAAGTCAGGCTGATGCTCAGAGTCAGGCACCTGCTCAGTCAGAATCTTTGAAATGCTAACTAGCCTCTACAATTCACCATGACCCTGCTCCTTTATCTCTGGCCCAAGGTGGCACCCCAAATCTTTCCCTGATCATCCCTTCTACCCTTGCCATACACCCCTGCATCCTTACAATTAGTCAAGTGCTTCCTTTTTTAATAAGTGGCTGTACATTTTTTAAGTGTTATTTTTATTTGAAAGGCAGAATTATAAAGAGAAGGTAGAGAGAGACAGAGAGAACTATCGTCCAGCCACTGGTTGGCTCCCCAAATGGCTGCAACAGCTGGAACTGAGGAAGCCAGAGCAAGGAGCTTCTTCCAGATCTCCCATGTGTAAGCAAGGGCCCAAGGACCTTATTCTCATGGTTGAAAGTTGCTCCACTGGGGGACTAATGCTGTGGTACAGCAGACTAAGCTGGCACTTGCAAGGCTGGCATCCTGTATGAGCACAGTTTCTGTCTTTTTTTTTTTTTCTTATTGGAAAGGCAGATGGACAGAGAGGAGGAGAGACAGAGAGGAAGATCTTCCATCTGATGTTCACTCCCCAAGTGGCCACAACGGCCGATGCTGCGCCAATCTGAAGCCAGGAGCCAGGAACTTCTTTCCAGGTCTCCCAAGGGGGTGCAGGGCCCCAAGGATTTGGGCCATCCTCCACTGCTTTCCCAGGTCACAAGCAGGGAGCTGGATGGGAAGTGGAGCAGTCAGGATTAGAACCGGCGCCCATATGGGATCCTGGTGTGTACAATCCGAGGACCTTAACCATTAGGCTATCATGCCGGGCCCCATGAACACAGTTTCTAATCTCAGCTGTTCCACTTCTGATCCAGCTTCCTGCTAATGCAACTGAGAAATGCAGTAGAAGATGACCCATGAGCTTGCATGGGTCATCCTGCCACATGCATGCGAGATGTGGGTGAAATTCCTGTTTCTGGCTTTGGCCTGGCCCTGTCCTGGCTGATGTAGGCATCTAGGGGGTTCATCAGTAGATGGAAGATCTCTCTCTATCTCTGTGACAGTCTACCTTTCAAATAATTCTTTCTTTCATTATACAGAAATGGAGCTAAAGTATATAACACACGTTTTCCCTGAATTTTCTCAAGTCCTCTGGTATTCCCAGGGGATGATGACACCCTTGAGGACCATAGCTGCCTCTTAATGGCACCCACCCTCCACCCAGCCTCCCTGCTTGGAACTGTGCCAACACAGGGTTGCACTCACTGCCTTCCGGTCACAGCACCTGTCCCCATTGTCCCCATTCTCTAGAGCAATCTACAGGGTTGAGCTTCGTTTGGGAGCCTTTTTGTGCAGGGGCAATCTGTCCACTTCAGGGGCAGGAAATCTGAGGGCCAATATGGATGTTAAGGCATTGAGTTTAGTAATAGGGGCCTCCTAAGGCAGGTGGACTTCATGCATCCTCTGATTCTAGAAGAGAAACAAGATGAGAGAGTGTCCCTGACCCTGAGGGCTTCAATACACAGGGGTACTGGGAACTGTAACTCCACTGTGATAAAGAGGGTTTCCCCTAAATACAAAAGCTGGGGAGCACTTCCACTGGCTGTCTGAGTTGATGACTGGGAATGGTGACCAGCTGGGCATTGGCCTGGGAGGAATCCAGGACTCAGGGGCAAGGAATTGCTTGGAAATCCCGTAAGCCACAGCAGCTGTGCTGAGGGAAAATTCCATACGCTCCTTGTTGGCCATCTGGTCAGTTAAGCCTGCTCAACCTTCTAAGAAGAAATGGAAAGGACAACACTGCTATCAGGGCAGCAGCAGCAGAGGTGAGGCCGGATTAGTTGCCCCTTCCATGTGTTTGCTTTTCTCACGCACCTCATCCAGCATGGATCCTTGAATTACCTACTGTCGGTGGTGGGCTGGGCTGGATGGTGATTTTTTTTAGTCCTGTTAAAGGTCCAGCGGCAGTAGCACAAGCCGTCAGAACCAGCAGTCTCTGCATTTCTCAGGATGTCTTCAAATGTTGTAAGGGTAGCTCCCTGCTGGGGGATCTCACCAGGCAATGTCTGGAAACACCTGTCATTGTCCCAGTTGGGGGAAGGAGCCATACCACTGGCATCTCAAGAATGCTAAACGTCCCACAATGCACAAGACAGTCCTGACAACAAAAGGTTATTGCCTCAAGTGTCAACATGGAGAAAGAAACTCTGGCCAAGAAGCAAGAGAAAATCCTGACTTCACTGGTTTTATTAAGCAATATCTCTCATCTTCCAATATCAGAAACCCTAAAAGGAGGCAGGACCCTGGATTTTGTCAGCTGGTGGCTCTCTGGACTGAACCTGGTTCTCAAGGACCAGGCCAGCTCTCCCCCAGGTTCCCAACACACCTGCAGGATTGGCTTGGATCTATCTCGCCAGGAAAGCAACTGTAGCAAGAGAGCCCATTTCTTGTTGGTAGATGTCAGCAGCCTGTCTCAGAAGCTCTGCAGCAGAACATCAATGGGTCTCATGGGCTGGAATCAGGCGACAAGCCCACCCAGAAGGCAGTCACTGGCTGGGTGAGGCTGGGTGTGGTCAAGTTAGCCTTCCTGGAAGCACATGGCCACTGAGGCGTACATCCGGTCTGTAAGGAGGAGAAAGACAGGAAGTGGATGCTGGGCGGGCAAACAAGAGACACTCCTATGCCTGCTAACCCTGATTTCTTGATAAAGTTTATTTGAAAGGCAGAGAATAGGAGACAGAGAGACATCAGGTCAGACCAAAGCCAGGAGCCAGAAACTAAAAAAGAAAAAATATTACAATGATTGCTTCTCAAAGTTTAGCAGGTGTAAGAACCACTTGAGAACAGGTCATGCAAAAAAAAAAAAAAAAAAGCAGGATCTGGGTGGGTGTCATGGTATAGCAAGTTAAGCCCCCTTAGGTGTCCTATATCAGAGTCTGAGATTACACTCCACATCTCTTTCCACTCCAACTTCCTCCTAATGCACCTGGGAGCAGTAGATGATGGAAGGTTCAAGTACTTGGGTTCCTATTGGAGTTCTGGCTCCTGATTTTGGCCTGGTTCAGCCCTAGCTGTTACTGACATTTGGGGAATGAGTCATGGATGGATGAAAGATCTCTTATTTTAAAATAAAAAAGGGCCCAGCAAGGTAGCCTAGTGGCTAAAGTCCTTGCCTTGAACGCATCAGGATCCCACATGGTGCCAGTTTGTATCCTGACAGTCCTGCTTCCCATCCAGTTCACCACTTGTGGCCTGGGAAAGCAGTGGAGGATGGCCCAAAGCCTTGGGACTCTGTACCCATAGAGGAAAGGCTGGGAACAGGCTCCTGGCTCCTGGCTTCAGATCAGCGTAGCTCCAGCCATAGTGACCAGTTGAGGAGTGAATCAATGGACAGAAGATCTTCTCTAACTCTCTTCCTCTCTGTATATCTGACTTTCCAATAAAAATTTTAAAATGTTTTTTTAATTAAATAAAAGTATTTTTTAAATGCAGGTTCTGGCTTGTGCATCAGCTCAGCTGCAGCAAGTCTAGCCAGCTCCTGATCCACAGGCCCACCTGCAGCCATAAGTCACTAATGATGACATTTGTCTTTTCATGTGATGTTACTGTGAGCAAACGCAGCTCACCAAATTTGCCATCTCGACCATTTCTAAGTTCACATTCAGTACGTTGGGTACGTCCACGCTGTGGTACAGCCAACCTCCAGACCTGTTCTGCAAAACTGAAGCACTGTATCCATGACATAGATTCCCCATCCAACAATCCTCAATCCATGGCATCTATCTTTTGACTCCTACTTTTCATCTCTGTGAATCAGGTTGCCCTAGGTTTATCAGACCAAACCAATTGGTCAGTTTGTGAGCCTCTGCATCTGGCTGACTTCACTTAGCATAACGCCCTTGAGGTTCATCCATGAATGTGGACTTCCTTCCTTTTCAATGCCAGAATTCTGCTCTATTTTGTTCATGCTTCATTTGTTGATTGGCACTTTTACTCCCACTTTTTTTTTTTACTGTTGTGAACATGGGTTCACAAATATTTCTTTGAGACCCAGCGTCCCAGCTATGGTGTAGCTGGCTCATGTACAACTTCTAGTTTTCATTTTTGAGGGAAACATCCACTGTTCTAAGAAGCAATGTCACTGGTTCCTAGATATGAAAGCACATCAAACTCACTTGGGAGAGATGAACAAATGACTAGTGCTTTGGCTCCTCCTCCGTAAAGGGAGGACATGAGAATCTTCTAAGTTCCCTAAGTGGCTCCAGTAGTTGCAAAGTTGGAGGACCACTGCCACCTATTTGTCATTGCTTCTTTTTCACACATTCTGAGCAGCCTTGCTAGGATGATGGGACTTCCTGTTGGGACCTGAAATGCCCCTGACACCTTGTGCTGTAGATTCCTTGGCTCCCAGGTAATGCCTACCCCAGTCCCCAGCACATCCTATCTTCCTTACCCATCAACAGGAAGACTTAACGATGACCCTGATGGCTTTGAAGTCAGAAAACTTCAGAACAGGCAATTTCCATAATAACCTCTTTCCTCTGCCTACCAGCCCCCATCCCCCACCCCAAAAAGTTTTAAAGAAGGATTGAAGATCTTCACTTCAAAGGAAGTTTTGCCTGCAATCTGACCTGCCCATAGAAGCCACTCTGTTGGCTTAGGAATGAGGGGGAGGCACTAGAAGTGCCCTGATCCACATGGAACAGGGCTCTGCACAGCACCCTTGTGTTCCCCAGTCCGTCCTGATCTAGCCTGAACCTCTCTCTTCACCCAGAAGAACAAGTGAGGACATAGGAGCCCTAGAGCAGGCTCCTAGCAAAGACTGCCCACTCACAGTCCCGGGGGAATCAGCCCTCCTCCAAGTCCAGCTTCGGGGCTGGCTAGGTTCTCATCAGCTACAGCATTCAGCAAATGTCTCAACACAATTCCATCCTGTAGAAGGGTTTGGGATTCTCTCAGTGTCTTTGAACCACAAAGTATTGCTGGGGGAAGCTGTGTTGTGACCTCAATCAGTGCTGGTTTTCTAGATGTTCATAGAATTGCCTAGTTAAACAAGGGATAAATGAGTCAACAGCATTTCATCAGGACTCCCGGTTGGTAATGTCTGACCATCTTTAAAGGTCATTTGAAAGTTAAAGAGAGAGAGAGAGAGAGAGGGAGACAGAGAGAGAGAAAGAAACTGTAAGCTGTCTTTATGAGATGCGAGTCACAAACATGTGGGTTTGTGATAAACCAGGGGAGATGGAGAACACATGGGAGGGGTGCTGTCTGACCATGCAAACAGCTGTTTGGGGTTCAGGATAGTGTTTTCCAGTGGGGACATTGTCTACAAATTCCATAAGTAAGCTGATGTTCTCTGAAAATGGCAAGATAATACAAAAAGTGACTCCTGTTGGAATGTGACTCGCCCTGAAACGTGAATGGGAAAAGTGCAACTGTTTAGAATGACTTAATTATGTGTTATTTTAAATGCATATATTTAAATTATGCAAGTATAAAACTTTTTTCTGTGCCTTTTAAAGATTTCATAAATTCAGGAGCCAGCATTGTCGTACAACAAGTTAAATAGCCACCCGTAAAGTCAGCATCCCCAGGCACCCTGGTTTCAGTCCTCCCTGTTACACTTCCCAACCAGTTCCCTGCTAATACACCTGGGAAATCAGTGAAAGATGGCCCAAGAGCTTGGCCACCTGCCACCCATGTGGAACACTCAGGCGAAATTCTTGGCTCCTGATCTCGGCCTGGCCTAGCCCAGGCTGGCACAGCCCTTTGGTAAGTGAGCCAGTAGATAGAAGCTCTCTTTCTCTGAATCTCTCCCTCTCTCCTTGTGACTCTTTCACATAAAACAGAACCTTAATAATTAAAAAAATCATGCATTCAAATGGCCAAAGCCCATTTTGCAAACATTAGAGAAAGTTAAGGGATTATCTTCCTTATTTGTTTTTGTTTTAGAAAGAGAAGGCTCCACCTCACTGGTGCACACCCCCAAATGCTCACAATAGCCTGGGTCCATAGCCTGGAGTCAGGAATTCCATGGTCTCTGTGTGAATGGCAGGAATCCAACTGTTTGAGCTCCCAGGGTGCACAGAGGCAGGGAACTCGAATCAAGAATTGGAGTTGGGATGGGAACCCAGGTGCCTGATCCAGCATCCTTTTTTTTTTAAGATTTATTTATTTATATTGCGAAGTCAGATATTCAGAGAGGAGGAAAGACAGAGAGGAAGATCTTCCGTCCGATGATGGTTCACTCCCCAAGCCGCTACACTGGCTGGAGCTGAGCCAATCCGAAGCCAGGAGCTTCTTCCTGGTCTCCGACACAGGTACAGGATCCCACGACTTTGGGCTGTCCCTGACTGCCTTCCCAGGCCACAAGCAGGGAGCTGGATGGGAAGCAGGGCCACCAGGATTAGAACTGGCGACCATATGGGATCCCGGCGCATGCAAGGCAAGGACTTTAACCACTACACTATCGCGCAGCGCCCCCGACCCAGCATCTTAATCACTTAGCAAACACCTGTCCCAGAGCCATCGTACCTTCACATTGGCCTTATATCTGGGCACATGTGGCGTTGCTCATCCCAGAGCACTGAGATGTTCACACTCAAACTTTGTGTATTCCTTCCATGTTACCTCCCCTCCTCATTACCCCCTTTCTTTTTCTTTAAGAGATGTATTGATTTATTTGAAAGAATGAGTTAGAGAGAGAAGTAGAGAGTACGAGAGGGATCGCCCCTTTGCTGATTCATCCTCCAGGAGCTTCATCTGAGTCTCCCAAGCAGGTGGCAAGAGCCAAGTACTTAGCCATCTTCTGTTGCTTTTCCTAGGTCATCAGCAGGGATCCGAATGGGAAGCAGCCTGGAGCATGAACTGGTGCCCATACAGGATGCCAGTGTTTCAGGCAGTAGCTTTACTTGCTATGCCACAATGCTATCCCTTCTTTCCTCTTTTTTGAGGTAAGAAGAAACATCACAAAGCAAGAACTCTGCATCTGTTATAACATTGTTGAGAATGCCATGACTTACACTTTGCTTTATAATATCTCCCACAGGACATATTTCTTTGGGCATCTTAACTGCAAGGAGAAAAAAAAAAAACTTTCTCCAAAAAAGTTTTAATATCCTGTTTCCCTTTTCTGTCTACCAGGAAGCTCTGAGCTAAATATCATGATTATATGAAGGGAATGAAATGATCTCTCTTTTAGTTACATCATGCTTCTTTAGTACAATGGCTTTATTTCAAAACAGTCTTGTCCCCCAAGTACCCACACCCTTTAGCTAAGGCCTCCAAGAGACAGAGAAAGTAAATTCTTCCAAGCCAAGCAGATGTACAAGAAAGCCCAAGATCCATCTCTAACACCACCAAAGCAGGGCAGCTGTCCTTCACCAAGGTCAGGGGGTGATCCTGGGATTGTGCCTGCTGAGGCTGGGAGGGCCCCAGGTCTCCTCATGAGGGCGGTGGAAGGGGCCAGGCTGGAGGCAGCTGTCATTCTCCCATGCTTTCCCACATCTGGGCTCTGAAGGATCCCTGTCTGGTGGTCAGTACCACTTCCTGGTGCCCTGCACCTCTCCCCCAACTCTTAAACCTACAGCTCACCTCCCACCTCAGGTCAGAGAAGAAGAAAG